TTATTTTTAAAGTATGCATTAATGTGATATTTGTTCTTTTTTCATAAATTTTAACTATTAAAAGCGTAAAGATAATAATTATAATTTTATATAAATAAAACATATAAAATTTATATGTAAATAAGTTGTTAAACTATTAATATTATTCTTCTGTAGCTCAAAAGCGCAAAAACGTCATTAATACATGCTTGGCAATATCCTTGATTTTCCTTAATCTCATTCTAATGAATTTCTACAAGTTTAATTATCATTTTGCCCTTTCACTCTTACGACATGTGAAAGCTTAAAAAGATATTTTTGAATGCCATGTCAGCACTCCATTAGCATCATATAAGCAACCGTTGGTACGAGGAGCACTCTGGTTAACGGCTATTGACGGAGGGACCATGCGAGGTTTCTTTACCAAAGTTCAAGGATTTTTATGAATTCTTTTTTGGTGCAAGGATGATAATGAACCTTTTTGATAAGTTCAGCGATTTTTAATAGCTCTAAGCCAATACTATATAAAAAAAATTGAGAAAAAACCCTTTAAAAGAAAGTATTATAAAAAATCTATTGATAAAGAATCATATTAAGAAAAATAAAAAATGAAAATATTATTTTTATTTTTTTTAATTATAATAATAAAATATAAAAATACATAAATAAGGATATAAAAAGAAAGTTTAGGAAAAAAGTTTTATCCAACCAAAAACACCGTATGATTTCCACCCATAAAGTCATATTGGGTCCATGGCTTTTGTTTTATTTTCCTTTTAAATTCATGATGCTTCATCTATTTACCTTTTTCATTTTTTGTTTTTTCTTTTAACACAAAAGAAAGAGTCCTGTGATGAATCATGATTCTTGATAGCTCTCTCTTTTTTTTTCTTTTTTTTTGGTAGGACATGATTGCTCTCCATTACCGTGGAAATAACGTTGCAAAGGTCTATTGCAATCCCCGGTGCTGGTGCGTTCTCGTCTTTGCCATCCAATTCTACTTTCCGCTCCTCATATTGTATTCCTTCGCTTCGGGCTCGCTGAAACTAACCTGGCATCTCGATCCATCCTCTTTGAAACTTCCTTTTTTTCACAATTTCATTTCGTTTCGTTTCTCCCAAGTTGTCTTGTTTACAAAAGCAAGTCCTTTCCCCCCCCTTTTTTTTTTACACCAACTAAAGAAACCTCTATGTCACCTCTGCCATTCTCACCATTTGATCCATCATCTCTGTGAAGCTTCTACTTTTTTTTTCACCATTTCATTTTGTTTCGTTTCTTCCAAATTGTTTTGCCCATCATTTCTGAAAATTTCTTGTCCAAAAAAAAAAGAAAAAGAAAAAAGAACCAGGGTCCTTTCATATTCACTTTGATTCTGTCCAACTAAACGAACCTCTTTATCTCACTTCTGCTATTTTCACCACTTCATTCATTTGGTGGTTCTTTTACTGTCTCTGTACTCTGTTATCTGTGTATTGTTTTGTGTCTGTTTTCCAATACTAAAAAAAAAAAAAAAATAGTGGAAAATGTCGGGCACCGAATTTGCTGGCAATGTTGCTGGCAAAGTTGCAGAGAACCTGCTGATTGATCGAATTTTCAATCCAATCTGGAACAGAATAGCTCGTGTGTTCAAATGGAAGACTAATTTAAAGGATCTGGAGAGAGAAGTTAAGAAGCTGGTCGCTGAAAGAGATAGTGTGCTGCAAGTTATGGGAGATGGTGAGAGAAGAGGGGAAGAGGCTGTGCTGAAGGTCAAGATTTGGCTGACTGAAGCAGAGAAGTACATTGGAGGGATGAACTTAAAGGATGATGAAGACAAAGCCGGGAAGAAATTTGGGGAAGCTGCTGACAAAAGAGGGAAAGAAGTCATGCCGAATGACAATAAGAGGCTGAATGCTGCATACGAGTTCTTTAAAGAGAAGCAGGAGTTAAAGGATGACGAAGAGAAGGCTAAGAAGAAGTGTTTGGCTGGGATGTGTTGCAATCCCAGGGCACGTTACCAAATCAGCAAGAAAGTAGAGGAGTATTTGTTGACTGTTACTCAACTCCTACAAGAAGCTCACAACTTCAAGATCCCAGTTTCCTACTGTCCTCCAAATCCTACAGCACCAGTTAATAAAGGTTTTGAGGACTTTGAGTCAAGAACGCCTGATTTGGACCGTATTATGGAGGCCTTGAGAAGGGCTGGCACTGATAAGATAGGTGTTTATGGGATGCCTGGTGTTGGAAAGACCATGTTAGCCAAAGAAGTTGCCAGACGAGCTGAGGAAGCCCACTTATTTGATTCAGTTGTATTCGCTTCTGTGACAAGGGATCAAGACTTGGAAAGAATTCATGGAGAAATTGCTGGCAAGTTAGATCTACAGCTTCATGGGAAGAATAAATATGAGAGAGCAAAGCAACTAAAGGATTATCTGAAGAAAAAGAAGAGGATTCTTGTGATTTTAGATGACATGTGGTCGAGGCTAGATTTGGATGAACTTGGAATTCCTTTTGAAGAAAAAAAGAATGAGGCAAGTTCGATGGGTGAAGAACAGATGCAATGCAGGATTCTCTGCACATCTAGAGATCTCAATGTCTTACAACGTGACATGCATACTAATCAAAATTTTTATGTTCAACCATTACGAGATGATGAAGCATGGGAGCTTTTGAAGAAGATAGTTGGCGATAAATGTGAAAATTCTGACCTTCGGCATACGGCAAGGGAGATTGCCAAAGAATGTTCTGGGCTCCCCCTAGCCATTCAAACTCTTGGCAACGCTTTAAAAGATAAGGAACATTATGAATGGAGGGATGCGCTGCTACAACTGAAAAATGCCTCTTCAGAGAACTTCATGGGGATCCATGCAAATGTTTTTTCTGCAATTGAATTGAGTTACAACTATTTAGAAGGAGAACAATTAAAGCAAACTTTCTTGCTTTGTAGTTTGCTTGGACAGAATGCTTATGTAGATGACTTGCTAACATATGGCATTGGTTTGGGCTTATTTCAGAATGTCAACACAATCGGACAAGCACGAGACAGGGTACTAACATTGGTTAGTAAACTAAAATCTTGTTCTTTGTTGCTTGATGATTGTAGTGGTACTCACTTGAATATGCATGATATTGTTCTTGGTGTCGCGATATCAATTGCCTCAAGGGACTACCATGTGTTATCATTAATAAATGACAATGTACCCAAAAACTGGTGGGAAAGGGTGGCAATGGGAGATATCAAATGGATTAGTCTACAACATGATAATGTTGGTGAGCTCCCTAATGAGTTGTATTGTCCACAACTTAAATTATTTTCTTTACGTAGCAAGGATCCTTCTGTGAAAATTCCAGAAAACTTTTTTCAGGGAATGCCAAATCTCAGAGTCTTGAATTTCACTGAGGTGCATTTGTCATCCTTGCCTTCTTCAATTTGCCTCCTAAAACATCTTCATACATTACATATTAGTGAAAGTATTCTAGAAAACATAGCTTTCATTGGAGAGCTTATGAGTTTGGAGGCCCTAAGCCTTTCAGGATGTGATCTTGAAGAGCTACCAATGCAGATTGGGCAGCTAACCCAGCTGAAGTTGTTAAATTTGAGTGATTGTACCAAACTCAAATTGATTCCACCACTTGTCATAGCAAGTTTATCCAAACTTGAAGCTCTGCACCTGAGAAACAGCTTCAATCAATGGGACACTGGAAATCAAAGAAATGCTAGCCTTGTCGAGTTGAAGAAGTTACATAACCTAGCTGCTCTAGATTTGCATGCATGTGATGACCAGCTTGTTTCAGAAGATTTGTTCTCTAAAAGATTGGAAAGATACAGGATCTTCATTGGAGATGTGTGGAACCGTTGGGACAGTTCATTCAGAAGCTCAAAAATATTGAAACTAGAGTTGAACACAAGCATTAGTTATGAACATTCTATTTGCATGTTGATGAAGAAAACAGAAGAACTACATCTAGAGAAACTGAAGGGTGTCAAGAATATAGTTTCTGAGTTAGATGCTGAAGGTCTTCAGGAACTGAAGTATCTTTATGTCCAAAATGCTCATGAGATTCAGCATATCATTAGCTCAGTGGGACAAATTCCTTCCCATGCATTTTCCTCCTTAGAAGTACTATATCTTCGAAATTTAAAGAATATGGTGAAGATATGTCATGGTCGACTTGGAGAAACATCTTTCAAAAGATTAAGAACTATAACGGTTGAAAGTTGTGGGCAGCTCATAAGTTTGTTCCCGTTCTCCATAGCTAGACGGCTTCTCAAACTTGAAGAAATTAGAGTAACAGATTGCAGTAACATGTTAGAGTTTGTTAAAGAGGAGAGGCAAGGTGCCACTAATGATATTGCAGAAGAAGATCAAAATTTTGAACTAGCCCAGCTACGGTCCTTGAAATTGCAGTATTTGCCAAAGTTCATTAGATTATGCCATGAAAATGAGGAAGCAAATGATTCAAGTTCCAGGCCTGCACCACTTTTCAATTCCAAGGTATTTAGCTTTTTCTTTCATACGTGTTTGTATATATATGTGTGTGTGTGAGTTATGAACCCTAAACAGATTAACTAATAGGAACTTTGGAGATCTAGCTCTCTGTTAGCTGGGTTTTATGAGGCAATGTCTGGTTAGTAGCTGTGGCATTTTGCGGTGAAATCATAAAAACAAGTTAAATTTAAAAGAAACTTCTATAGGAAGCAATTATAACTAAGCCTTAACATTTATAATTTTTCACTAAATTAATAAATGAATGAGGAACTTGTATTACTTTCATTTTTTAAGGAAAATAGGAATTCTTTGATTATTTGCTGATGTAAAAGGAAAGTTAGAATGGTTAGGTTTTTCTCAACTTTTTATGAAAATTTTATAATTTTAGTTTACTTTTATAGTTGAACCAAGAAATTGTCATTACCACTAACTAAATAAGTCCTAAATAAAATGAGAATTTATTGAAATGATGTAATTTTAGAGTTATTTTCCTTTTAATTTTTTAGAGGTGTAATTGATATGCACTAATTTCTTTTAATTCTTTTTTTTTTTTGGGTAAAATTGTTAGTTAAGAAATGTGAATGATCACTTTGGTTAATATAAGATGAGAAAAAAAAAAAAAAGAGGAAAAGATTAATAAAAATTTAAAAGTAAAAGATAATGAAAATAAATAATTTTTTTCAATTGTGAATGTAATTCTATTAGAAGTATGACAAATATGATTTGTAAGAGACTCAAACATAAGTCCATTTTATATCTTTAAAACCTCTCTTTTCCTTCATATCTTTCCATATGAACCAGGCATAATTTCGGACAAAGAATAATATAATAATGTACACATTTTGCAGATTCTCTTTCCAAAACTGGAGGAGTTGAATTTATGCTTGCTTAACATTGAAAGTATATGGAGCAGTCAGCTTTCGACAAAATCTTCTTGTATCCACACTCTGACAAAGTTGATTGTTGAGGCCTGTGATCATTTGGAGCACTTATTTTCATCCTCTATGGCTAAATGTCTTGTGCAGCTCACATACCTTGAAATTAAAAAATGCAAAAGGATGAGAGAGATAATTGCACCAGAGAATGCAGAAGAAATGGAGGATTTGATTTCTTTTCCTAAGTTAAACATCCTGTGTATAAATGATCTTCATAGGCTTAGCAGATTTTGCTCTGGAAACTATAGTATTGGATTCACAACTTTGAAGGAATTGTATATAAAAAATTGCCCAGAATTAATGGGGTTCATGGTCAATACGGGCACAGATGTTACGGATGGACTGCAACCCCTCTTTAATGAAAAGGTATAAATTTTTATTTCACTTTCATTTTGGCCCTAATTTTAGTAACTGATTTCGTTACCTTAATAATTGTGATTAATTTGACAAATTATATGCAGGTTGCGTTTCCCAGCTTGGAACAATTGGAAATCCGTGGCTTGAAGAAGTTGAGGATCATATGGCACCACCAACTCCCTGCAGATTCGTTCTGCAAACTAAAAATTTTATGGATTATTTCTTGTGATAAATTATTGAATATTTTTCCATCTTATATGCTTGCTAGATTATTGACATCAGTGGAAAATTTGTGGGTAATAGCTTGTGGGAGTCTAGAAGAGATATTTGAACTTGGAGAATTGAATATGGAAGAGTCACGTGCTGTGGTAAGCACTATGTTAGGAAAATTGGTTATGGCAAGTTTACCAAGGTTGAAGTATTTGTGGAGCAAGAATCCCAGCGGAATTCTCACTTTGCGGAACTTGCAGACTGTGGTAGCTTTTCGTTGTCAGAACCTTCAAAATATGTTCCCAGCTTCTGTGGCATTGGGGCTTCAGCAACTTGAAGTTTTGAAGATACGAGGTTGCTTGATGATGAAGGAAGTTGTAGCGTTGGAAGAAGGAGATGAAGCAGTTCCTAGGTTTGTGTTTTCTCGTTTATCTTCTCTGAAGCTGTTTGTTCTACCAAGACTCAAATATTTCTATCCTCAGAAACACGTAATGGAGAGCCCCATGTTAAAAGATTTCTATTTAGATCTACGGAACTCTTTTAAAGAAACAGAAGGAGAGAGGCTTGGCAAATTTCCAGTTCAACTACCGCTTTTCTCTATAAAAAAGGTATGACCCGCAGTTACAAAACAATTTTGTAGTAACTTTTTTTTTGTTCTTTTTGGCTTTTGCTTCCGAGTTCTGGTTAGATCTATTATCTATCCGTTGTCAAAACAAAATTTAACAGCTGTTGTTCATAAGGAGAATAATTCGCTATAAGCAATATCAACCGCTGAAAACTAAAATTAAAATTAAAAAAACTAACAATTTATTTAAGATATAATTTTAATATTTGAAAATTAAAAATATAAATTTATTTACCTAATAATCATAATAACAGTTCTAAAAATATATGAAAATAAATAAGTTATTTATTTAAAGTTACAAAATTTATAAAAATTAAAAATTACAACTAAATTAAAGAGAGTCTAAGAACAATCAAAATAGTAATTGAAAACTAAAATAAAAAATTTTAACTGCAAACTTATTTGAGTATGAATTTTTTTTTAACTAATATCTAAAGCTAAAAACTTAATTAATCTATCAAGTTTGTTAATTTTATTTTAGAAAATTTATTAAAAACTAAAAACCATGGTCATATTAAATGAAACCTAAATAGTACATTAGAGTCTTCTAATTTAACACATGTTTCGACATTTACCTGGTTTCATTATTAAAATTTAATATAAATATAGTCAATTTAATTAGTTCTTACATTTTATATATATGTATGGTTTCATTTTTTAGTTTGTCTGGTTTTAATTTCCAAAGTAAAAAAAAATAATTTATTTAAAGAGTGTTGTGTTGTGTGTTGAATTAAAGGGTATATCAATCAATGTCTAATTCATTAGCATAGGAAAGGATATGCATATAACCTATTACTATTAGGGGTGTTCGCGGTGTGATTTGGTTTGGATTTTATTATTTTTTAAACCAATCTAATTTAATCAGTTAATAAAATTTTAAAACCAATTCAATCCATTATTATGTGATAACCAAACCAATCCAATTTAAATCGGATCGGTGTGGTTCAGTCGGATTGATCGGTTTTTAACATTATTAAATATATAAGATAATGTAAAAATATTTTAATATCAAATAAAAAGTATAATTATAAAATACATTAATATTCAAATTAGTAAAAATATAATAAAAGGTAAAAATTATAAACGAATTCTTATACTCTTCAACATTTGTAAAAATTGAAAAGTTCTGAAAATTCTTCTTCGTTATATCACTAGAGGCATAAAAAACAATAAAAAGTAACTTCAAATTTTTAGTACAACATAAATAATCTTGAAGGTTAAAATTAATTTTTTTTCTTAATACACTAATAATTTAATCACATTTTCTAAATCCTATTAAAAGTGAATAACATTTAACATGAATATTACTAAAATTAATTAGAAGCATTCAAAATCAAAATTTAAAACTTTTAAACCAAATATCTAAGAATAGTTAAATATTAAAACTAATTTTATTATATGGTTTTAAGGCTTTTAGAATAATACTTATTTAAAACTTAGTTAAGAAAATTATAAGATTATTTTAAGAATAAATTAGAAATTTAGGGTTTTAAGAGTAAAGGCGCAAACCAGTTATGAGAGGATAAAGTTGTAGGTGAATTAAAAATTTAGAATTAAAGTTAAAGTGTATGATTAAAATGGAGAAATAACTTAGGAAATATGGAAATGTTCTATTCTTATTTTTTTAATTAAGTTAATGGAGTTATAATCTTGTAAAATAAGAAAAAAAATTTTAAAATACTACAAAAAATATGTTATATTATTTATTTAAATTATCTTCTAATCGGATTTTATTTTGTAATCGAGTAATTTGAGCGGTTTGAAAGTAAAACCACGAACCAAATCAATTATATCGGTTTTAAAATTTTAGAATTCAAATCAACCCAATTTTATATCGGTTTGGATCGATTTTTGATTGGATTGGATATGAACACCCCTAATTACTACAACTTTTCTTTACAACTTTTTCATCTTATTAAATGAATATGTTCATACAATATTTCAATAAAGTAAGGGTTTGTTTAATTTGTGGCTTTAAAGGTGCATTAATTGCAAATTTTTCTTATTAATTTGTTTGAAAAAAATACAAAAGTTAAATTTATTTTTAATAATAATGACATGTATACAATTTTAATCAGGTGATTGATAAAATTAAGACTAACCTTTTTTTTTCCATAACAATTATTCTCTTTGTTTTAAAATAACTGTAATTTTTTAACTTTAAGATTGTTTCAAATTAATTGTGAAATTTTTCATTTTTTAAAGTAGACAAACATTCTTTTATTAGTTTAACTCTATTACTATCTATTTATTTTAATTAATTATTTTTAATGAAAAATATCAATGTATCTTTTAATTTTTTTGAGGATATTATAAATAAATACAAATAGTCTTTAAATTAGGAAAATAAATTTAAAAATAATAATTATTTAAAATAAAATAAAATAAAATAACTAAAATTGTAATTAATGAACCTTTAATCTAAAACAGAAGTAAAAACACTCAAAATAAAAAGAGTTCGATGACTAAATGCGGTAAAGTTGTGTAAAAAATTATATTTAAAAGTTCTCAGTAAATTATTTTCTCATTAACAAATGGGGCTATAGTTTTTTTTTTTTTGGGTGTGTGATTGTGTTCTCTTAAACGTGCTGAAAGCAATTATTGAGGGACTTATAAGTTCTTTTAATATGCTTTTATTTTCTGGGTGGTTCACGATATGATACACATGGTCTTTTTTTGGCTATTTTTTGGGCATAGACCATGGAACATAAAACATAATACCCTCACAAGCACCCGTTGTTGATTGGAGCAAAGAGAGAAAGCAAAAAATCTCATGTCGACGGTAGAGAGAAAATAGCCAAAAATGTATGGGTGAAATTATTGTCAGGCCCTTAATTGTTAATATCATATATTTTTTATTTAATTGATTATTATATTTTTAATTTATTAAAAAATAAAAAATATAAAATTTTGAGAAGAAATATAATACAAAAATATAATAAGTAATTATATTAAAAGAGTATAATATTAATCATTTAAGGTGTGGTAATAACCCCGCCCTAAATTTACGTATAGTGCTGATATGGATTTTAAATAATACAATTAACTCTTTCAAATTTTCTACATAATTTTCATTTAAAACATTTTATTCTACCGGGAATTTCCACGTAATTGTAGGAGCAAAAAACATGAGATTTATTGGAGGTAACTGTTAATGTCAACACTTAATTGATGGAGAATGTCAACACTCAATTGATGGAGAGACCAAAAAGGAGTCAAAAAGGAATTAAGAATTTAATTATATTGCC